TACGTAGTTACGGTTAAGTTTAAGGTAGTACATACGTAACGTTACGTTACGTTAACTTACGTCGTACGCGTCGTACGTAATACTTGTCTCCTCTCAACACACACCTCTCTCTCTCTCTCTCTCTCTCTCTCTCTCTCTCTCTCTCTCTCTAAAGACTCCCAGGCAGATAAAGACACTCTAGAGAGTGAAAGGGATCCGGTTTCTATGCGGTGCATATGTTGAAATACAGGTTTATTAATAAATCTATTTTTGAGATGGATATTTGGATTTAATTTTTAAAAATATGTAATTTCTAACATCGAGATCATTAATATGGAAAGAAATAAGTAAATTTTGAAACTAAAAATAATAATTCTAGCAAGAAAATAGTTTGACCGTTAGTTTCTACTGTTTTTAGATGAACACCTTCTTGCATCAATTTTTAAGATGGATGTTTTACACTTTCTAGACTACATATGTTGAAATACGGTCCAACCGGCATGAAACAATTTTTCTAAAATAAATACTATACTCATACACATCACATCAAAAGAAAGAGAAAGGAAAGAGGGAGAGATGGGCAAGCCCCATGCACCGGTAATCAGCTATCCAGCCCAAGGCCACATTATACCCAGGATGGAGTTCTCGAACCGCATGGTCAAACACGGCTTCACCATAACCTTCGTTAACACCGATTACAACCACAAGCATGTCCTGGAAGCGGCAAAAACCCATCCCCAAGATCCGCCGGGTGATGGCACTGGACCAGTCCGGCTAGTCTCTATACCTGATGGGCTCGTGCCTGGTGCACCTGGTGCAGACCGGAACCAACTCGGTCCACTTTTTTAGTCCATTCTCAGCTCGATGCCCCATGCTCTGGAAAAGCTCATAGATGACATCACAAATGTACAAGGGCTTGAGCTACACTGTGTAGTGGCTGGTGTGAGCATGGGGTGGGCACTCGACGTAGCCAAGAGGCTTGGCATTGCTCGAGCTGCAGTCTGGCCTGCGGCTACCGGGTGCCTAACAATGCACCTCAAGATCCCAGAGCTGGTCCAAAATGGGGTCTTATATGGTGCGTGTTCTTTTTCGTTTCTCTTGGGGAAGTGACACAATACCCTTATTTTGCTACTATGTTTAAAAAATCGTTGACCCAAGCTCGGACTTGCCAAAGTGACTAGGTAGGGTGTTGGATCTTAATGAAAATAACTAAAACTCAAGCAAGTCTTGTTGAGTTCTAGTCCCTAGTAGTGTTTGACCACTCGAGTGCCAAGTAGTCGGGCCGAGTACTCGGGCTCAGCAACTTGGCGAGCCCAAGTTATCCCTATTTGGGTGCCCACTCAGAGATAATTAAAAATATTCAACAAAAAAAAAACTTGAAAAATAAGAATTTATTTGTGTTATACTAATTTTATGTTTTTTATTATTTTGACAAAGACGGGAAAGTGTTTTGAATCTTTTGATCATAAATACTTTTTTTTATACTTTTTTTTTTTCTGAATTATTTCAACAATACCCCTCGTCACAAGTTGATTTTATGAAAATATATTGTTTTACTATTTTTTTTAACTTCATTTTGAAGTCGTTTCTTAATTTTATTTTAGACATACATTTTTTATCTTATAAGATTTTTTATTTTTAAATATTTTTTTAGTTGCTACAGTACTCAGCACTACTCGAGCCCAATTGTCACCTCGAGTAGAGATCTCCAACACTGGTCCCTAGTGTATTTTACCTACGCCATGTTGGACTGTCAACTCAGGTGCGTCAGTGGTTAATTCGGGGCCCTGGACCGTCGTGAATCTGAGCCCAATCACTTGTTTCCAAACAATGATATGGACCAATGTTCATGGATGGGGAATTGAAATTCTAGCAGTAAATTTTGGCCCGAACAACACGATCCATGTGGTCCTTGTAGCCCCATGAAATATCACCTTCCCATTGGTGGCTTGGAAGCTGATAGAAGGGAGTGCCTCCTTCCATCACCATCCAATCAGTTGATTGAATGGTGATAAACCACATGACCATCATTTTTATGTATAGATATGGGTCATATCATATTTCCCTTTGAGTAGTTTTTGCTTTCTCATCGCTATTTTGGGTGGGTATAGGAAAAGTCATGAAAATCCCCTGGATTTTTCGTTATATCATGGATCGTTGGGCATGCACTGTCTATTTTCCGACTAACGATGAGGGAGATTAACTGCACCAAGGTGAATGCCTCTCATTAGGGACTAGGTCCACCGTTTGGCGATGGCAATCAATACCCCACTAAGGGCATTCTCGTCTGACGCCCTCGTATAATGTACTCATGTTGTGTGGGATAATGGTTTTTGTTGTTTCTCCCTTTTAAATGTGAATCACCTAGAAATGAAACTCAAAACGTCATGTTGTGGCACCTTGCCACCCTGAACACCCACACCGTCATGATTCTTGTTGTTTTTCAACCTTTTCTCCATTAGTCAAGGTGCCATTGGGTCCTTGTAAAGCCTTTCCTTCAATATATTTCTGATCAGATCAAGAAGATGAAACACCTTACCTTTGTTTTTTTCCTCTGGCTCCCACCTATGTTCAAAACGTTTTCGAAATTTTTAGGTTTATGGCGCAACAGAAGCATGATCCAACTCGCCCCAAACGCACCCCTCATCGACCCGAGTCACTTCCCATGGCTTTGCATCGGTGACACCACGGAGCAGAAGGCCATCTATAGATACTTTTGCCAATTAATCTATAGCCTTGAAGGAGTAGAATGGGCACTATGCAACTCCTACGAACTCGAAGCTACAGCCTTCGACTCATTCCTTAATCTCTTGCCAATTGGTCCTCTACTCCCAAGCAGCCACCATGGCTAACCACCTTCACTTTGGACAGAGGATGAAACCTATCTTGAGTGGCTCAACAAACAGGTTGAACTTTCAGTCATCTATGTTGGATTTGGTGCTATCCAAAATCACGAACATAAGCAAAACCCATATTATGTGAGATTAAGATTGATATTGATATTGATAAGTTCTCTGAAGGAAATAGAAATCCAAAAATAATTAGGACTCTTGAATATATCTCCTAATCTTTTGAGTTATATGTACTATCAATTGGAAGTTTCCTCTTTAGTATGAATTCCTAATCTTTATATATATGAAATGAAAGTATAGGGAATTTTCATATGCCGTATTTGGGTCACCATATAGAAATAGCGGTTCCTCTAAAGAAAGAGGGAGGCAGAGCCTCCTATGCATAAAATGCAATTTCGTCTTAGAGAAGAGAGCTTCCTATGGAGAAAAACATTGTGATGTGCCTCCTATAGACTCTTGGAGATTGAGAGACTATGTGCCTCCTGTAGACTCCTGGAGATTAAGAGGCTTGTTCCTGGAGATTGAGAGGCTTGTTTCTTTTAGACTCCTGGAGATTGAGAGGCTTGTTTCTTTTAGAGAAGCGGCTGCCATTGAGATTTTGGGTGGTTTCCCTTTTAGTTAGAAAACAAGTCAGTTTCTCATTGCTCTCGCGTCTCTTATCTGGTGTTGTCGATAATGGTTGCCATAAGTAAGGAGAAGGAAGGGAGAGTGGTTTAAAAAATTTTACTCGACTTGGGTTTTTTGTCGAGGTTAGAGAGGTTTGTCCCAAAATCTTTGATGTAACTTTCATTAGTATAGTGGATTTCAGTTTAACCTACCTGTGGATGTAACCCTTTAAGAGTGAATCACATAAATATTTGTGTTTTTGTGGTATATATTTCATATTTTATTTCTCATACTTTATTTGCCAAAAATCAATCCATCGGGTTTAGAACTTCCACGCACAACAATCTATGTATCCTTTGGGAGCTTCATGCTTTCCGACAAACGCCAACTTCATAAGCTTGCTTTCGCCCTTGAGAACTTAAACAATCCTCTCCAGTGGGTGGCCCGACCTGACCTCATCGATAAGGCAGGGCCAGCTTACCCGTTGGGGTTCTTGGATAGGGTGGGGGCCCATGGCAAGGTGGTGGGGTGGTGCCCACAAAGGAAAGTAATGGCACAGCCTTCTATAGCTTGTTTTGTGACCCACTGTGGTTGGAACTCGAACCTTGAGGGGCTTAGCAATGGTGTGCCTTTCATATGCTGGCCTTACTTTGCTGACCGGTTCTTGAGGCAGACTTACATTGTGGATATATGGAAGGTTGGGTGGGGTTGAAGGGCAATGAGGATGGGGTATTCTCCAAAGACGAGATAAAGAGCAAAGTAGAAGAAAGGCTGGGTGATGAAGGCATAAGATATAGGGTTCTGAAACTCAAAGGGGAAGCCATTAAGAGTGTCACTGAGGGATCTTCAATGGACAATGGAGAATCTTAATGGTTTTATGAAAGCCATGAAAGGAAATTCATAATTTTAGGGTCCTTGGGAACCTCTCTCTGGCACAACTAGGAACCCAGTACATAATTCATGTAATGCTTTTGAGAGAGAGACAGGTCATGTCCGCAGCGGCGCAGATAACAATTAGAAAGAGACCATGAGATCATTTGAACATGTTTGGTTGTTGTTTGTCTTCATTTAAGATTCTTCCTTCAATGAAATTGAAATTGCTTTCAATGTTTGTTCGTTGTTTGTCTTCATTTAAGATTCTTCATTTAATGAAATTAAAATTCCTTTCAATACTTGCTTAGATTAGTAGGCAAGGTTTTTAAAAAAATGGATCGATGACCTGATCGCCCCTCTGGATTTCCAATTTGGCTCCGCAATCTAGTTTAACAAACTAGAAATTTTAAAAAATTAAGTGAGGCCAGTTCTCTGACATAATAGTTGGTTCTATCATAGAACCAGATAGAACTGGCAAAAATCGGCCCCAACCATCTGTTTAAGGCCATTTAAAATTTAAAAAAATAGTGGGACCAGTTTGATCGGTTCTATTAGAAAATCGGTCAGTTTTGTCAAAGAACCAGTCGGTTCATTGAGGCAACCGGCCAACTCCCAATATTTTACTGGATCCAGATCGGTCTGACCGATTTTGGATTCAGATCAGCTAGTTCCAATTCCTATCACCGATTTCTCAAACATTGTTAGTAGGTATTCAATCTATTTGGACTATAAGGCGTTATTTTTTTTTCTACGGTGAAGGAACAGGAAATGAGTTCATGCAATGGTTGTATAGTAATATCATGAAACTATCTTTAAAAACCATGTTAGAGTCATTTATTTGACAACATTTTTTAGATATACACTCCTTTAATTGTAAAGAACAATCACGAAAAAGCAAAATTTGAAAATCCCAATTAATATAGGACATCCATTTTAGTGAGATGCTCAGATATAGGCTGCAGAAGGATTTTTTTATTTCCAAAATTTTTGATACTATTATCATTTGATTAACAATGCTACAAAAGGAAAAAATGGTTTTGAATTTGTTAAGGCCTAGATTCTAAAATTTACCAAAAGGATGGTCGAGATTCATTGTTGGAACGCAATAATTTGACCATATCTAAGGTGCAAATTTTATTTTATTTTTTATGAGATTGATTGTGAGGATGAAGAGAGTGTGTGTATGAAATTTGAGGTCATAAAAATGCCAAAACTATGGTTTGCTAGAGACGTGTATAATGACGTGGTGGCATAAAATCTTTCCCCAAATGTAATGGAGTTTTTTATTTTCTTTAGAAGATAATAAGAACTATTAATTCCCTAAAAATTGCCAGCGCAATTAGTAAAATCATCAATCATTATTATTTTTATAAATTTAAATTACTTGAAATTTTAGTCGTATGTTTTCTTTAAAATAAAATAATCCAATAAAAATATTAAAAAAAAATATTTCGTATAAAATAAATTGACCAAATACCCCCAAAATATTTCAAATGTATTTTGGTTAATTTGTATTTTATTAATTTTTTTAAATATTTTTATTAAGTGCACCTTGATGATAAGAATAGACTCCTAAAATTTCATGTAATTTAGATTTGTAGAAAAAAATTAAAATTAAAATACAAATGAGGTCGTGGCCGTCAGATCGGCTCAGATTGAATCTGGGTCGTTGGGTTCATATGTAGTTATAGGCTACTGGGCCTACGCCATCATTTCCTTATATATATATATATATATAGGGTGCTCACACTATATAGAGCATTTTATAATTATACTCAACAAATTTTGGACATTTATATACCTTTGTTTTGTAACACAATAGTTTATACAACTCACAAAAAATGTATCATTCTTAATAGCTCGTAATTTTTATATAAATTTCTTCATCATTACTATTAATATCATCCTTTGGCTCATTCAATGAAACTATGACTTTCATCATTCTCGTACATTTTATTATATACATTCAATATGTAACTTTAAAGGTAGTTAATTTCTTTGATGGAAAAAAATATAACAAGACAATTAATTTTTGTTACAAAGAGGTCATAATTACTTTTGATAATTGGATCCGAAACCGGGCAATAGGGTTGTCTTATGTTCTCAAAGTTGAATGTTCTCAAACGGGCAATAGAGCTCCCTGACAAAACCAGCCAATTTCCAATAAGACCCCCCAAAAATGAACTTTTTGATTGGCACTCCAAAGAATGAAAACCCCATCGATGCGCAATGGATGAGACCCAATAATAGTAATGGGCAAGGCTGATAATTTTTCGTATCAAGTCCGAATCCACCCAAATCTGGATTTGGATCCAAACATTTTGGATCTTATCAGATTCGGATTCAAATCTGAATCCGATATATTATTTGTCCGCATCTTATCAAATCCAAAGTGTTTAGATCTAGATTCAAATCCAACACTATAAAAGATCTAAATCCAAATCCTGATCGGATCCAAATCCGAATCCACCCGATTCCCATGAAAATGCAATTGTGCCACGTGCAATCATATGGATCCACCTCGAAGAAACGTGTTGTGATTTTGCAACTCTTCAAGTCTCTTGAACCATTTTAGGAACAAACGTGTTGTGATTTGCTACTCTTTGTGGCTTCAACTATCTTCAACGGTCGTAGCACGCGAAGCGATTTGAATTCGGTAGAAAAGTTGTAAATTCGGAGGCGGTTCCTCTCAAACAGCAACCCCTCTCGGTCTCTCTCCGGCTCCCCTTTATACTCACACACATCAAAGGAGGAGGAGGAGGAGGAGGAGGAGGAGGAAGAAGGGAGAGAGAGAGATGGGCAAGCCCCATGCACTGGTGATCAGCTACCCGGCCCAAGGCCACATTACACCCATGATGGAGTTCTCGAACCGCATGGTCGAGCACGGCTTCACCATCACCTTCGTCAACACCGATTACAACCACAAGCGTGTCTTGGAAGCCGCAAAAGCCCATCCCCAAGATCGGCCCCGTGATGGCACCGGACAAGTCCAGCTAGTCTCCATACCAGATGGGCTTGAGCCTGGTGCAGACCGGAACCAAATCGGTGCACTCTGTGAGTCCATGCTAAGCTCGATGCCCCATGCACTAGAAAAGCTCATAGATGACATCACAAATGTACAAGGGCTTGAGCTACACTGTGTGGTGGCTGATGTGAACATGGGGTGGGTACTCGACGTAGCCAAGAGGCTCGGCATTGCTCGAGCTGCGGTCTGGCCCGCGGCCACTGGATGCCTAACATTGTTGTTCAATCTCCCAGAGCTGGTCCGAAATAGGGTCTTACATGAAAACGGTGTGTGCTCTTTTTTCTTTCTCTAAGGGGACTCACACAATACCCTACTTTTGCTATTGTGTTTGAAAAATAGGTGACCCGGGTTCCGACTTGCCAAAGCGACTTGCCAGGGCGTCGGGTCTGATTGCAAGGCACTGAAACTCAAGCGAGTCTTATCGAGTCCTGGTCCCTAGCGGTGTTTGACTACCGGGTCTGAGTGCCGAGTAGACAGGCGAGTACTCAGGCTCAACACCCTAGCGAGCCTACGTTACCATCTACTTCCGGATATTTAAAAAAATTTTAAAACATAAAGAATTTATTTGTGATATATTTTTTATTATTTTGACTTAGGAAATGGTTTTTTATAAATACTTATTTTTATATGGTTTCATCGTTTTTTTTATTATTTCAGCAATACGCTTAGTCACAAGTTAGATTTTTTAAAATATACATTTTTACTACTTTTTTAACCTTATTTCGAAGTGGTTTTTTAATCTTACTTTAAACATACATTTTTATTTTAAAAATTTTTTTTTTTTTGTAATTTTATAAATATCTTTTGGTTGTTGCCGTACTCAACACCGGTATTCAAAAGAACGAGTCTGGCTGACTAATCGGTCATGGGGGAACCAAGAGTCCATCTGATGATGTAAATCAATGCCCCACTAAGGTAGGCGCGTTCTCGTTTGGCGATCCTTGTATAATGTACCTATGCGGTGTGCAATAATAGTTTTTGTTGTTTTTTCCTTTCGAACATAAAAATGAAATCTATAAACGTCATGTTGTGGCGTTCTGTCGCCCTGAACACCCACAACTTCATCATTCTTTTTATTTTCAACCTTTTTTTTTCATTAGTTAATGTACCATTGGGTCCATATAAAGCTTTTCCTTCAATACAACTCCGATAAGATCAAGAAGATGATCTACCTTTGTTTTTTCCCAGTGATAAGATGGCTCCCATCTATGTTCAAAAAGTTCCATAACCGTTTCAACCACTTCTGCATCTTTTTCATTTTTTTTTCCTGCAATTATTCAATTAGGCATTCATTTAATCATATAATGTACCACAATTATGTGTTGATAATATAAAAACAGTTGAATTATTTCAGCAATTATGGAATTTTTCTACAAATATAAAGAGAACTATGTCTTGGACTTTTAAGTGTCCACTTGATGGCCTCAAGAAGATTCTCTTAGGCCCTAACAATGAAAAAGAAACAGAGTGATGCTTAGGGATGACAAGATTTCTGCAATTGTAGGTTTATTGCGCAACAGAAGCGTGATCCAACTTGCCCCAAACACGCCCCTCATCGACCCGAGTCACCTCCCATGGCTTTGCATCGGTGACACAACAGAACAGAAGGCCATCTATCAATACTTTTGCCAATCAATCAAGAGCCTTGAAGGAGTAGAATGGGTACTGTGCAACTCTTTCTACGAACTCGAAGCTGCAACCTTCGACTCATTCCATAATCTCTTGCCAATTGGTCCTCTACTCCCAAGCAACCACCATGGCCGACCAACTTCACTTTGGACAGAGGATGAAACCTGTCTTGAGTGGCTCGACAAGCAGCCTGAATGTTCAGTCATCTATGTATCCTTTGGGAGCTTCACCCTCTTCGACAAACGCCAACTTCATGAGCTCGCTCTCGCCCTTGAGAACTTAGGCAGGCCTTTCCTGTGGGTGGCCCGGCCAGACCTAATCGATAAGGCAGGGGCAGCTTATCCAGAGGGGTTCTTTGATAGGTTAGGGGCCCATGGCAAGGTGGTGGGGTGGTGCCCACAAAGGAAAGTGTTGGCACATCCTTCTATAGCTTGTTTTGTGACCCACTGTGGTTGGAACTCGACTATTGAGGGGGTGAGCAATGGTGTGCCTTTCATATGTTGGCCTTACTTCGGGGACCAGTTCTTGAACCAGACTTACATTGTGGATATATGGAAGGTTGGGATGGGACTGAAGGCCAATGAGAATGGGGTATTCTCCGAAGAAGAGATAAAGAGCAAAGTAGAGGAATTGCTGGGTGATGAAGGAATAAGAGAGAGGGTTCTGAAACTCAAAGGGGAAGCCATTAAGAGTGTCACTGAGGGATCTTCAATGGAGAATCTTAATGGTTTTATGGAAGCCATGAAAGAAAAATCATAATGTAGGGTACTTGGGAACCTCTCTCTTGCATAACCAAGAATTCCATTACAGGTAATTGATATCATTACATAATTCATGTGATGCTTTTGAGAGAGAGAGGTCAGGTCCGCAGCAGCGCAGATAAAGATTAGAAAGAGATCATTTGGACACGTTTGTTTGTTGTCTGTTATGATGAATTAAAAGAAAAAGCATTTGCAATTCCTGATTCCACTCCTTCTATCGCATTCCTTCTTTTAAGTCCTTCTATCGCATTCCTTCTTTTAAGATTCTCAATGTAATGAAATTGTAATTGCTTTCAATACTTGTTTAGATCAGTAGGCAAGGTTTTGAAAAACGGATCGGCAACTTGATCGCCCCTTTGGATTTCCGATCCGGTTTGATAGACTGGCTATCTAGTCTTAAAATGCTAGAAATTTAAAAATTTAAAATAAAATTAAGTGAGGCCAGTTCTCTTCTCTAACATAAGGGTTGATTATGTCATACAACCAGATAGAATCAACCAAAACCAGCCCTAATCGTTCGCGTCCAGTCATTTAAACAATGATAATATAAATAAATAAATAAAAACTAAAAAAAACAATAGGGCCAGTTTTGACTGGTTCTCTCAAAGAACCGGCCGGCTCATGGGGAACCACCAATACCCAATATTTTACAGGATCAAGATCAACTTGACCAAATCTTGATCCAGATCAGCTTGTTCTGATCCCATTCGTAGATTTCTCAAACATTGTATGTAGGTATTCAATCTATTTGGACTATATGGAGTCATTGTCTATTCTTCAATGCAAGAAAATGTAATAGATATTTTTATTTTCTTTAGAAGATAAAATATATATATAAAAAAAAAAATCCAACTCACAAAAATGTATCAATTTTAATTCCTTGTAATTTTTATACAAATTTCCTTCATCATTACTATAAATATTGTCCTTCGGCTTATTCAATGAATTTATGACTTTCGTTCTCATACACTTTATTATATACATTCAATATAATTTAATGTGGTTAATTTCTTTGGTGGAAAAATGTATGATAAGACATTTTACTGTTGGTACAAGGTGACAATTAATTTGGTAGTTGACAATAGGTTGCATGATCAAAAAAAAAATTTATATTTGTATTTACGAAGCTATCAAATTGTACTTTTGTCGATCTAAATGATTGTGGCCCCTTTCTACCAAAAATTACACTTTTTCACTTACACATTTTAGCGCTAGGACACCTTCATAGAAATGAAGGGGGGAATTCTTGAAATTCTTGTTATATCCCAAGATATTTTTATTGAAAGAAAAAAAAAAAACAGATTTGTTTGTAGTTCATTACCTTGAACAATTGAGGCGATTAAGTCGGTTCCCGTTGATGCATCCATGATTGGAGAATTCCCATAACTCACAGGATTCAATGTTAAGGGCAAGCTTTCTATGTTTCCGTATAAAAGTTATATACTTCACCTATCCAACTGTTCATTCTGAATGGACGGTTGAGATAGCGTTAAGCTACCGATCACAATTTCATGTCTATGCACTATATTATTTTTTAAGTTTTTTTTCTACAAAATACTGTGACGCCAAATGTTGGGCCATCTACACTCGCACTTATAAAATATATATATATATATATATATATGAAAAAGTCTTCCTAATGCTTATCGGCGAAAATGAATAGTGATTTCACCTACTTTTATCACCGTCCAAGTTTCATCGTACGGTCCCGATAGTTCGGTAGTATTTTATTTTTCATTTTCTTTTCTATAAATTGGAATGACCTGAAATTTGGAGAGTATATACATCTTAATGAGGTGCATCTAATAAAAATATAAAAAAAAATTATCCATGACAAACAATAGACCAAAATACCCCTAAAAATTTTTAGGGGTATTTTGGTCAATTTTTTTCATGTAAAATATTTTTTTTATATTTTTAGAAGATTCTTCTATTTTTGATGAATACATATTCCAAATTTTAGGTCTTTCAAATTTGTTAAAAAAAATAAAAAATAAAATACTACCGGACAATCGTGACCGCACGATGAACTTTGGACGGTGATGGGAGTAGGCGAATTCACTGTTCATGTTCGCCTATAGGTGTTGCGTAATATTTTCCTATATATATATATATTCTCAAAAAAAACAAAATGACCAAAATACCCCTAAAGTTTCAAGGGGTATTTTAGTCATTATATTTTATCAAAATTTTATTTTTACTATTATTTTTAGGTGCACTTAATTGAGAAGACATCACGTATTAGATTTCATATTCATATATTTTATAAAAAAAAATTAAAAATAAAATACTCTAAGCATCAAATCTATAGCAAACGATCAATGGCTCACTTGATCTAAATTGAACGGCTAGATCAAAAGAGAAGTATATCTTATACGTTGTAGGGGAAGTAGAAAAACATTTCCCTTAATTGGATTTAGCACTCAACTTTTTAAGTTTATCAATGCCTATGAGTTAGTCCTTAGTTTTCTAAAAAAAAATTAAATCATTTTTTATATTTTTATTGAGTGTGCCCGACAAAGATTCAAGTACGTTCTGATTCATTGTTCGCAAAACCGGCCGGTCCAAACCGGAACCGGCCGGTTATATCGGTACCGGCAAGGTATCGATTCCGGTTAAGGCCGGTTTTGCGGTACTACTCAATAAGCGCTCATCTTCAAAAAAAATTGGTACAAAAACCGACCGGTTTGATATCGAACAGGCGATAGTTTCTAAAAACCTGCCGATTTTCAGCTTACCGGACCGGTTCGTCGTTATAGCGGCGTTTTATGGTAAATAATAGTAACTTATAAATAACGACGTTATTTTAAAATTCAAACCGTTATTTGTAGAAGGAAAACTGTGAATCCAAATTTCACCATTTTTTATTCGGTTTGCGGCAATATTTTGGTTTTTTTTGTGTTTTAATGGTTTAAATCACTATATAATGAATCTAAAACAATAAATTTGGATTTAAACATTGAAAAAAACGAGTTTCTTCACTTGAAATGATGGATTTTTTAGGTTTTGAAAACTTCCGCCATTCTTTCAATAATCTCCTCAATACCTAATGATTCTTCAAGAAAGTTGAGGGGTTTGATTGCTATTCGAAGCATTTACTAGATTCAACTTTAATTTGATCATAAAACAAAAAAATAAAGGGCTTATTTTAGCCCGAATATTGCTACTCCAAGAACCTGTGTTCTACCCAAAAACGTAAATTTTTTTGGTCATTTATTGGTTTTTTTTTATCAAATTAAGTTATATATTTCAATAATTGAGGCTTTATAGCTCAAATAAAAATACTATGTTTATTTATTATTGAGTAATTTTTTTTATATCAATTTTTTTGTTGCATCATATAAAATTTTATAGATCTCAAATTTCCGCATTTTCTTCAATTAAATAAAAAATAGCGAATATTTTTTTATGATATTGGGTGCGTTTGAAAGATGATCGAAGCTTTTACAATGCATTTATATTTATTTTTTCGATTATCCAAACATTAAGGGTCATTTCTTGCCCCAAATGTTGCTTCATTTTTTGGGTTTTTGAAAAGTCGATTTTTCTAAAAAAGATATTTTGTTGAAGAAAATTATGTTTTTTGATAAAATTAAGTGTTTTTCTATTTTTCTTAATAAATTATTTTTAATAGAATTATGAGTTTTTAATAAAATTACATTTTTTTTATGAATATCGGAAGTGTTTTTTATTTTGCTTAATAAAATTATTCTTTTGATAAATTTACTTTTTGATGGAATTAATTCTTCTTTTTGATAAGTGAATGAATGTCGCTCGATTTTTTAGTTATCTTTTTTTTTAAGTTGATATATTTATATTTGTAATTATGGAAATAGGATATTTTGTTTTTTAAAGTGCATGTAAAAATTATGGTTGCCTTATTTTTAATGAAACACTACACCGTCTTGTATGTGCTTTGTTCTTCTCTTTTTTCTTTATTTATTTTTTTTGTTCATTCTCTCTCAAGTTTTTAGAATACTATGGAAATAGCCTTTAAAAGATCAACCATTTTTTAAAAAATCGGCCGATTAACTCGGGATCAGTCACTAGCCGATTCTGATCTCGCCCTATTCCAGAGAGAGAGAGAGTTATACAAAGATCTTAATTTCAAATCATCCCTCATTTGAGAAATTGATTTTTCCAAAAAAGAAAATTTTCATTTTGCTCAGTAAAATTATATATTTTTTTTAGCAATATGGGAAGTTTTTTCTATATTATATGACAAAAATATCTTCAAAAAAAATATCCTAAACTATTTTCAAGCACAGGACCATAGTATTCGAATATTACTTTATAAAAAGTTGTTTCAATTTTTTTTTTGTAAAATAAGTATATGTAATAAGATATTATACATTTAGTCTAAGTATTTTTAATATATATTTTTTTAATTTTTTGGGTGTTTTTGACCTATTTTTTTTTAAAAAAATCTACTTGACCAGTTAGTCCAATTAACCGCCCCGGTTAATCTAGTTCCGGTTCAAACCGCTCCCAACCCCATATACGGTTAACAGTTCCGATTCGATTTTACGAACAATGTTCTGGCTTCACATGAATAAAGTTTGTAAAAAATAAAAATTGGATTTGTGGCCCGCATATCCGTTCACATTCAACCTAAACTATTTAAATGGTGCTTGTGCACCATTCCAAGTGTCCATGTGACTATTCGACGTGAACCCTTTATACTATTGTAAAATACAGTGTTTTAAAACATGGTTCGTGACCCTGATTGCCAATCCTAAAAACTGTTCTTGACTAGTGGATTGGCTATTCGAATCACCGATCTGACATAAAACTGTGAAAAAAACTAAAAACAATTAAAAAATAGTAGGGCCAGATTGGCTGATTCCCTATAAAATTGACCAGTTCCCAATATGTGGTGGGAATTGAGAACCGGCCCTACAAATTTTCGATTTGAATCCGGTCTTATCGTGCTTTTTAAAACCCTACAAAAACACAATTTCTCGATTGGCACTTCAAGGAAGGAAGACCCCACCGATGCGCAAAGGGTGGGACCCAATATTCTCGATTGGCACTTCAAGGAAGGAAGTCCCCACCAATGCGCAAAGGGTGAGACCCAATAATGGTAATGGGTGGGGTTAAGAATTTTTCAGATCGGATCCAAATCCAGCCAGATCCATATCTAAATCCAAAAAGCACATTGGATTTGGATTTAGATTCAGATCCGATCAGATCCAATCCAAAATGTTTGAATCTGAATCCCGATCCAAAAGTATCTAGAGGATTTGGATCCAAATATGGATCCAGATTGGATCAGTTCCCATTAAGATGCAATTGTGCCACATGCAATCATATGGATCCACCACTTTAGGAACAAATGTGTTATGATTTGTGATTCTTTGAGGCTTAAAGCAGTGTTTTGAAATACCACTCGGCCAAGATACTCGGATTTTGGCCGAGACGAGATTTTTTTAGCTTGGCCGAGACGAGTTTTTTTTAGCAAGACTGAGTAACTCCTCTGAGTTAAGCCCTATTTTTAAAAACTAAAAAAATGGTAGAATAGATATATTGTATAATCCGCTCATATTTTACATTAATTGTTGAATGGCATAGTGGATAGGTTAAGCTCTTGTATTTGCTTTTTTAACACTCTTTTCTTGGGTTCGATCCCCATGACCACATTCTTTTTAAGCTCTTGTATTTGCTTTTTAACACGTTCGCTTTTTATAGTGTTAAAAAATCGGCCAACTAAATCAGAGTCGGTTAACGGTTGATCCCAAGTGGGCCTGATTCCAAAGTTTATGCATTCTACAATTTTCATACAATGCACTAATCGGCTGATTTGTGCATTAACCGATAATTTGTTGTAAAGATCGATGGAGTTATGTATTGTTACAGTGCAGGATTTTGTAAGCCTCTTACTATTTTTTCAATGCAAGCCTATATCATCTTCTCTCTCGATGTTTTAAGCTTTATTATTGCTTTTTTTTTTCTTTCCAATATTGGGAAGGGAGAGTGAAAAAAATATCTATCATGTAGATGGAGATTTTTGTCTTATAAAAAGTATATAAAACCTCACCCCACCCTTACCCCCAACTCTCTGCACCAACAACAACTTACCAGTCCTTTTATCTTCCTCCATACTTCTGCAGCAGCAATAGTAAGTCTCTCTCCACCACTCTCTCTCTCTCTTTGGTTGGGACTCGTGCCTCAACCTCTCTTCCTTCGGTTGGGGCAAGGGCTTGCTCTAACCTCAACGTCTCTCCATCTCTCTCTCTCTTGGGGCAAGGGAATATGAAACTCAAGAAAATCCCGAACCCGATCATCTATTTTACGACTTTTGAATAGTCTTTTTTATTATTGTGTAATATATAATCTCCTTCAATTACTAGTTTATTGAAAAAGTATTGTTTCATGTGCCTACAAACTTTCTCCGAATATGACATTTGTTGTTTTATTTATTTTATGTGATAGTATAAAAAAAAAAGAAGCAATACATGAAAAATTTTAGACATTTTTTACAATTTTCTACTTTTTATGTTTTTGTGATTTTTTACCCCCTCTATATATTGCAGTAAAAACTCAGCGTTAATCGGCCGATTTCATCAGAATCGGTCCAACTAATCGGATCGGGCCATGACGATAAAAAAAAAGTGTTTTTTAACGGGTTAAAAAAAAAAAAAAAAAAAAAAAAAAAAAAAAAAAAAGAGAGAGAGAAATGGGGGAACTTGTGTCGTTAAGAATGGGTGAGCGGTTATCATTAAAGCCCTTGTACAACTATTGAGTTGAAAGAGAGGTAGTAGTATATATATATATCCAAAAAGCCTTTATGCACTTTTGTCCCCTTTCCTGCCCTTTTCTTTTGGGCAAAACACTCCACGGCATGTAAAGACACTGAACCCACACAGTGTAGTGTGTGTGGTGTGAGAGAGAGATTAATGGAGCAAGAGGAAGAATACGAAGTGTAGGAGGAAGGGTTTCTGCAAATATAAGAGAAAGATCAAACACTTTATACACATTCATCAAAAGCAGAGAGAGATAGAGATGGGCAAGCTCCATGCACTGGTGATCAGCTTCCCAGCCCAAGGCCACATTACACCCATGATGGAGTTCTCGCACCGCATGGTCGAGCACGGCTTCGTCGTCACTTTCCTCAACTCCGATTACAACCACAAGCGTGTCTTGGAAGCTCCGAAAGCCCATCCCCAATATCAGACAGGTCATGGCAATGGACCTATCAGCCTAGTCTCCATACCAGATGGGCTTGATCCTGGTGCAGACCGGAACCAACTCGGTCCACTCTGTGAGTCCATGCTAAGCTCGATGCCCCGTGCACTGGAAAAGCTCATAGATGACATCACAAATGTACAAGGACTTGAGATACACTGTGTGGTGGCTCATTTGAACATGGGGTGGGCACTCGACGTAGCCAAGAGGCTCGGCATAGTTCGAGCCGCATTCTGGCCTGCGGCTGCTAGGTGCCTATCATTGCTCCTCAAGCTCCCAGAGCTGGTCCGAAATGGGGTCTTACATGAAAATGGTGTGTGCTCTTGTTTCCTTTCTCAAGGGGGTTTGACACAATACCCTTATTTTGCTATTGTGCAGGGCTTTTAGAATCGACCGAGTCGACACACTGGACTCGGCCGAATTCCTCAGCCTCACCTACAGCCAAGGCTGAGAAGTCCCGAGTCACCGGTAGAGGTCCATTTTCATACCATGGCTCGGTGGAACATCGCCCCCAAAAACTATGAAACTCGCCCTAGTATTTGTTTTCCGCGGATGAAACTCAGTCTTAAAATTATGGAAACTTTGGTTAACTCAAAATTCATAATTTGGGAGTGATTTTGATGGATTTTTATAACATTTCTATATTTTTAACAATAATATTATCTTTATGATACGATTTGGAGAAGAGGGTTCTTCGTTTATCAATACAAAATCCGCCGATCTTTTCCCTTCTCTCTTATTTCTCCACGAAATTGATTTATTCCATGTTATTTTTCAATCTATTGAAGTTATCTACAAGAGCATTCTGCTGATTTTCATATTTATCAATTTTAATCACCGTAATTTTTCTGTTTTGGGGTTATATTTGCGAAATTTTTTATTTTTGTCAAAACTCGTTGTTCTTGCTGATTTCTTCACCAAATTGGATGATGTTTGGCTTGTATGGAAAGTTTTGATATCAGCTTCAAAAGCTCTCTACATATCCGTGGTTTTTTTTTTGCCATTGTCGACTGATTTCGTGCATTAAAGATGCTATATCGATAATCTATGAAAAAATTGCCGACTTCATTATTTCTATCTAACTACTCGGTCTGAGTGCCGACTACTCGGGCCAAGTACGCGAGCTTTGCACCCCGGCAAGCCTGAGTTACCCTGAGTTAGTTGTGGATTATTTCAACAGCAGCCCCAAATCACAAGTTGAATTTTTTAGATTATATTTTTTTCCTACTGTTTTAACTTCATTTTTAATCTTTCTGTAAAAATACATTTTTTTAGTTTTATAATTTTTTATGTTTTATAATTTTTAAATTATTACTTTTGTTGCTACAATGCCCAGCACTACTCGGGCCGTCTCGGGCGAAGGCCAAGTACTCGCCTCGAGTAGTGATCTCCAACACTGGTCCCTAGTGTATCATACCTAGGCCATGTTGGAGTGTCAGCTCGAGTGAGTGGGGCCCGAACCCCTAGTGTATTATACCTAGCCCTTGTTTCCAAACATGACATGCCCCTATGTTTATGGGTGGGGAATTGAAATTCTAGCCAGTAAATATTGGGCCCAAAGCAGTGTAGGAAAAATCAAATCGGAACCGTTAACCGGACATGGGTTCAGAAGCGATTCAACCACCTAATCAGTAAACCGGCCAGTCCAACCTTTCCAACCTGGTATCTTGGGCCGTCAAAAAAGAGTTAAAAAATATATAAAAAAAATCTAATAAAATATGAAAAGTATAATTAAAGAATAATTAAACAAAGCATATCCAAATGAAGTTGAAAATTAATGAAAAAAAAATAGATTTTAAAGAATCAATTTGTACCCAGGTGTATTTTTGAAACTTTCCAAAAAAATAAAAATAAAAATGCCCGACTAGTCACCATAACCGGCCAAAATCAGAGCCGGTTCCGATCTAACAAGTTGGTTAACGGTTAGATCACCCGATTTTTCCTTCAATAGCCCAAACAACATGATCCATATGGTCCTCGTAGCCCCATGAAACATCACCTTCCCATTAGTGGCTTGGACGGTGATGGAAGGGTGTGCCTCCCTCCATCCTTTCTTTCTCTCCATCACCATCCAACCAGTTGATTGAACAGCGATAAACCACATGATCATCATTTTTATGTGCACATAAGGGTCGTATCATATTCCCCCTCGAGTATTTTTTTGTTTTCTCTTCGCTATTTGGGTATAGCAAGAGCTATGAAAACCCCCTGGATTTTTCGCTATCTGTGGGAGGAGTACATCATGGACCGCAGTGGCATCCACCGTCGATTTCCGACTAACGAAGAGGGAGATTAACTGCACCAGGGTGAATGTCTCTCATCAGGGACATCCACGGTTTGGAAATGCGAATCGATACCCACTAGGGGCATTCTCATCTGACGATCCTCGTATAATATACTCCTGCTGTGTGGGATAGTAATTTCCGTTGTTTTTCCCTCCCTAATGAGTACATGAATAATGGACTTACTTCTTTTTCGAATGTAAATCACTTAAAAATAAAATTCAAAACGTCATATTGTGTCACTCTCCCTCAACACCCATAGCATCATGATTCCTTTTATTTTTTCAACTTTTTTTTCTTTTGGTCAGCGTACCATTAGGTCCATGTAAAGCTTTTCCTTCCATAGATCTCCGACAAGATCAAGAATATGAACAACCATACCTTTTTTTTTTTTTCCCTAATAAGATTGCTCCTACCCATGTTCAAAAAGTTCCATAATTGCTTCGACAACTTTTGCTCTTTTTTTATTCTTTTTCTTTTTTCTTGCAATTCTTCAATTAGGCATGCCTGTAATCATATAATGTACCACAATTATGTTTTAATAGTAAAAATAAAATTGAATTATTTCAAAAAATTTATTATTTACTGCAAAATATGGAATTTTTCTACAAATATAAAGGGCACAATGTCTTGACTTTAAGCGTCCACTTGATGGCCTCAAACAGGTTCTCTTAAGCACTAATATTGAAAAAGAAACAGAATGATGGCTAGGGATGACAAGATTTCTGGAATTATAGGTTTATTGCATAACAGAAGCGCCATCCAACTCGCCCCAAACACACCCCTCGTCGACCCGAGTCACTTCTCATGGCTTTGCATTGGTGACACCATGGAACAGAAGGTCATCTACAGATACGTTCGCCAATTCATGAAGAGCCTTGAAGGAGTAGAATGGGTATTGTGCCACTCCTCCTACGAACTCGAAGCTGCAACTTTCGACTCATTTCCTAATCTCCTGCCAATTGGTCCTCTACTCCCAAGCATCCAACATGGCCAACCAACTTCACTTTGGACAGTGGATGAAACCTGTCTTGAGTGGCTCAACAAGCAGCCTGAATGCTCAGTCATCTATGTATCCTTTGGGAGCTTAACCCTCTTCGGCAAAGACCAACTTCACGAACTCGCACTTGCCCTTGAGAACTTAGGCAGGCCATTCTTGTGGCCGGACCTCATCGATAAGGCCGGGGCAGCTTACCCGGAGGGATTCTTGGATAGGGTGGGGGCGCATGGCAAGGTGGTGGGATGGTGCCCACAAAGGACAGTGTTGGCACATCCTTCTATAGCTTGTTTTGTGACCCATTGTGGGTGGAACTCAACTATTGAGGGGATTAGCAATGGTGTGCCTTTCATATGTTGGCCTTATTTTGCGGACCAATTCTTGAACCAGACTTACATTGTAGATATATGGAAGGTTGGGGTGGGGTTGAAGGCCAATGAGGATGGGGTATTCTCCAAGGAAGAGATAAAGAACAAAGTAGAAGGTTTGATGGGTGACGAAGGAATGAGAGATAGGGTTCTGAAACTCAAAGAGGAAGCCATTAGGAGTGTCACTGAGGAATCTTCAATGGAGAATCTTAATGGTTTTATGAAAGCCATGAAAGGTAAATCATAATGGTAAATCATAATGAAGGGTCCGTGGGACCCTCTCTTGCAGAACTAGGAACCTCATTACCTATAATATATATCATTACATAATTCATGTAATGCTTTTGAGAGAGAGACAGGTCAAGTCCGCAGCGACACAGACCAAGATCAGAAAGAGATCAACAGATCATTTGAACAGGTTTGTTTGTGATCTGTTCTGATGACTGAAAAGAATTTGCAATTCCTAACTAATCCTGCTACTCATTCCTTCATTTAAGATTCTCCAATTAATAAAATTAAAACTTGCTTTCCTGATTAGATCAGTAGGCATTCAATCTATTTCGACTATATAAGGGATCATTGTCCTTTCTACAATGAAGGATATGGAATAGATATTAATAAAATAAAACATAATAGATATTAATAAAATAGATCAAGAGATCTATTTGGACTTTAAGAACTATTAATTTTTCAAAACAAAATGACCTTTACAATACTAAAGCTAACAGATCTCATATTTGACAATTCTGAATAATTCTAACTTTTTTCTACCAAAAATAAATGGTCATATGGTATGCAATCCATTTTCTTTTATATTATTCATATTCAATTGCACATTTTAGTGATAGGACACATTCTTATAAATGAAAACGGGAACTCTTGAAATTCTTGTTACATTCCATGATGTTTTTGTCGCATTTCAACAACAAAAAAAAAAGGAAAAAGATTAGTTTGTAGGTCATTACCTTGAACACGGAGGCAATTAAGTCAGTTTACGTGGCTATGTTAGATCAATTTTAACAGCAAAGCATCCATGGTTGGAGAATTCCCATAACTCAGAGGTTTTAGTGCCCAAGGCTTGAACTGAATTAATTTTCAGCAAAAAAAAAAGAAGGCTTTTACTGAATTTACCACTCAACCTTTAAGTTTATAGATGCCTATGAGTTGGTCCTTGGTTTTTAATTTTTTATTTGAATCATTTTTTATATTATTATTAAGTGCGCCGTTCAAAGATGCATGTGCAATTCTGATTTTCACATGAATAAAGTTCGTAAAAAAATAAAAAAACAAAAATCTATTTTTGGCCCTCATATCCATTGACATTTAATCTGAACCAAATGGTGCTTGTGCACCCTTCCAATGGTCCATGCGACCATTCATTATGAACCTTATACTATTCTGCAATACAGTGTTCTAAAACATGGTTCGGTGTCCCGCATTCCTATCCTAGAAACCGGTTTGAACTGGTGGATCAGCGATTCAAATCTGGCTAACAGAACCATGCAAAAAAGCTTGAAAGTTCTGAGAAAATTTAGAGAAAAAAAAGGTGGGGCCGCATCGGCTAGTTACCTGATACAATTGGCCAATTCTGTTTGAGAGCCAGCTGGTTTCCGATATATGATGGGAACCGAAGACCGGCCCTACAAATTTCCAGTCCTCTAAAATACACTTTCTCAATTGGCACTACAAGGAAGAAAGATCCTGCCGATGGGCAATGGCCGATACCCTAATAATGATAATCGGCAGTCATGTGCCCCACATAATCAAACGCGCTAAAGGTAGAAAGTGACAGCTTTCCCTTTACCTCTTGCACGTAAGACTCCATAGGCAGATAAAGAAACTCGATAGAGAGATCCCTGTATTAATAGACAAGAGGAGCAAGAGGGAGAAATCTACACGTATGTAGAAAGAGTAACACAAATGGATATACAGATGAATTAGGTAGCGAGAGAGAGAGGGAGAGAAGCACCAAACTCAACCAGAATCACAAATGAATGTAGAAAGAATGCTAGGTAAATACGTAGAGAGAGAGAGAGATGGGCAAGCCTCATGCACTGGTGATCATCTACCCGGCCCAAGGCCACATTATACCCATCATATCATGGAGTTCTCGCACCGCATGGTCGAGTACGGCTTCGCCATCACCTTTGTCAACACCGATTACAACCACAAGCGTGTCCTGGAAGCTGCGAAAGCCCATCCCCAAGATCGGCTGCGTGATGGCACCGAACCTGTCCGGCTAGTCTCCATACCAGATGGGCGCAAGCCTGGTGCAGCCGGAACCAACTTGATCCACTCTCAGTCCATACTAAGCTCGATGCCCCATGCACTGGAAAAGCTCATAAATGACATCACAAACGTACAAGGACTTGAGCTACACTGTGTAGTGGCTGGTGAACATGGGGTGGGCACTCGACATAGCCAAAAGGCTCGGCTTTGCTCGAGCCGCAGTCTGGCCTACGGCTACTACGTGCCTAACAGTGTTCCTCAAGATCCCAGATCTAGTCCAAAATGGGATCTTACATGAAAATGGTATGTGTTCTTTTATCCCTTCCCTACATGGGCTACAATGTTTAAAAAATCGATGACCCAGACTCAGACTTGCGAAATTGACTTGGTAGGGTGTTAGGTCTAATGAAAAGCACTGAAACTCAAGCAAGTCTTATTGAGCCCTAGTCCCCAGCAGAGTTTGACTAATCGGTCCGAGTGCCGAGTAGTCAGTCCGAGTGCCAAGTAGTCAGTCCGAGCACTCCGGCTCGGCACCCTGGCAAGCCTAGGTTACCCTGAGTTGGGTGTCCTGCTCAAGGATATTAAAAAATCAACAAAAAAAAATTCCCAAAAAAAAAAGAATATATTTATGATATATTTTTTTAAGTTTCTTTGCATTTTGGCAAAGAATGGAATGTGTTTTGGCCCTAAGAACTTATTTTATATCTTCTCATCTTTTTTAGGTTATTTAACAATACCCCCAATCACTGGTTGATTTTTTGAAAATATATTTTTTTACTATTTTTTTAAACTCATTTTGAAGTGTTTTACTTAAATCTTATTTTAAACATAGATTTCCTTTCCTTTTTATAATTTTTAAATATATATTTTTGTTGCTATAGTACTCATCACTACTCGCCCCAAGTAGTGATCTCCAACACCGGTCCCTAGAGTATTTTACCTAAAGACTCCACCATGTTGGAGTGTCCGCTCGCTCGGGTGATTTAGTGGTTCTGGGCCCTAGCGAGCCTAAGCCCTTGTTTCCAAACACTGATATGGACCAATGTTCATGGGTGAGGAATTGAAATTCTAGCCAGTAAATATTGGGCCCCAACAACACGATCAATGTGGTCCTTGTAGCGCCATGAAACATCACCTTCCCATTAGTGGCTTGGACGGTGATGGAAGGGAGTGCCTCCCTCTATCATTTCTCTTCATCACCATCCAAACAGTTGATTGAATGGTGATAAACCACATGATCATCATTTTTATTGCACATATGGGTCATACCATATTCCCCCTTGAGTATTTTTTGTTTTCTCATCGCTATTTTGGGTGGGTATACCAAAAGCTATGAAAACCCCCTGGATTTTTCGCTATATGTGGGAGGAGTATATCATCGACCGCAGGGGCATCCACCGTCTATTTCTGACTAACGACAAGGGAGATTAACTTCACCAGGGTAAATGTCCCTCATCAGGGATTAGGTCCACCGTCTGGCGATGCAAATCAATGCCCCATTAGGGGGCATTATCGTCTGGCGATCGTCGTATGCTGTACTCATGCGGTGTGGGATAATAGTTTCTGTTGTTTCTTCCTTTCGAATGTGAATCACTAGAAATGAAACCCAAAAATGTTGTGGCACCCTGTCGCCCTGAACACCGACAGCGTCATCATTCATTTTGTTTTTCAACCTTTCTTCTATTGGTCAACGTACCATTGTGTCCATGTAAATCTTTTCCTTCAATAGATCTCCGACAAGGTCAAGAAGATGAACAACCTTACCATTGTGTTTTTCATCTGATAAGATGGCTCCCACCTATGTTCAAAAAGTTCAATAACTGTTTCAACAATTTTTGCTTTTTTTTTTTTTCCTTTTCTTTTTCCTGCAAATATTCATTTAGGCATGCATGTAATCATATAATGTACCACAATTATGTGTTAATAATATAAAAACAATTGAATTATTACAAAAAAAATTTTATTTACTGTAAATATGGAATTTTTCTACAAATATAAAGGGAACAATGTCTTGGACTTTAAGCGTCCACTTGATGGCCTCAAGCAGGTTCTTTTAGGCCCTAATAGTGAAAAAGAAACAGAGTGATGCTTAGGGATGACAAGATTTCTGAATTTTTAGGTTTATTGGGAAACAGAAGCGTGATCCAACTCGCCCCAAACACACCCCTCATCGACCGGAGTCACTTCCCATGGCTTTGCATCGGTGACACCACAGAACAGAAGGCCATCTATAGATACTTTTGCCAATTAATCAACAGCCTTGACGGACTAGAATGTACTGTGCAACTCCTCCTACGAACTTGAAGCTGCAACCTTCGACTCATTCCCTAATCTCTTGCGAATTGGTCCTCTACTCCAAAGCAACCACCATGGCCAACCAACTTCAATTTGGACAGAGGATGAAACCTGTCTTGAGTGGCTCACCAAGCAGTCATCTATGTATCCTTTGGGAGCTTCACCCTCTTCGACAAACGCCAACTTCATGAGCTCGCTCTTGCCCTCGAGAACTTAGGCAGGCCATTCCTGTGGGTGGCCCGGCCGGACCTCATAGATAAAGCCGGGGCAGCTTACCCAGAGGGGTTCTTGGATAGGGTGGGGGCCCATGGCAAGGTAGTGGGATGGTGCCCACAAAGGAAAGTGTTGGCACATCCTTCTATAGCTTGTTTTATGACCCATTGTGGATGGAACTCAACTATTGAGGGGGTGAGCAACGGTATGCCTTTAATCTGTTGGCCTTACTCAGTTACATAGTGGATACATGGAAGGTTGCGTTGGAGTTGGAGGGTAACAAGGATGGGATCTTCTCCAAGGAAGAGATGAGGGGCAAGGTAGAGGAATTGTTGGGTGATCAAGCAATCAGGGAGAGGGCTCTCAAGCTCAAGGAGCAGGCCATTTATAGTGTTACTGAGGGAACTTCTAGGAAGAATCTTACTAGTTTTATTGAGGCAATGAAAAGGCAAGCGTGATTATATTTTCAGAAATTTAAGCTAATATCTTTTTTTAGTTGTGTAATAAAAATTAAAGTTTTGAATCAATTTGGAAATTCAACTTCCAAGCCGATGAGACTTAATCTTCTGTCTCGATGGTCGGTTCAAAACTTCTACTACCAAACTGAGTAGTTCACAATTTAGTTGGTCCAACTCTCGAAGTTCTGAACTAACCACAAGATTAAAAATAAAAAAATAAAACAAGTTCACAACTTTGAGTTTTGAACCAAAGTAGTTCTGGAAAATAACAAAATACAGAAGGACATGATCTTAAAATGTATAAAATTGAGATTTTTTTTTAATACCACTAAATAAAAGAGATATCAGCATATATTTCCTTATATTTTGTTTGAGGTATGTGCGCCTATGTAGTCACAACCATTGTCGTCAATATCTCAAGTTGATACAATAAAATAGTATCTTAAGAATTTTTTTTTTTTTAATGCCTCACATTGTCCACATACCTCACAGAATTTTAACTTCTAGTTTTAGTTTCTGATATATGCAATGGGGCGGTGTTTATTTAATCCCTTGTAGCTTTTGATTGGAGAAAGCGAGAGAGAGGGAGGGAGAGGAAAAGGACAACCGAACTCTGCAATCTTAAATCGTGGAGAGAGGAAAGAGAGAGAAGAGGTTTCCTAAACACAGATCAAAACTCTGTAAGACCAAACATATAATTGGAGAGAGAGAGAGAGAGAGAGGTACGGTTCCTAGAACACACGAACCAAACTCTA